CAATGGCAATTAGACAAAGCCTCTAGAAATGTACTGAAGAGGGGTTTAGCTTGAACATGCAAGAATCAAGAAGATCCCGATGTAGGCTAAATAGGTGAGGGCTGAAGTGACTGTCTGACTCAGGGTCTAGTCAGCGGGTGCTACTGAGGCCAACCCTGAAGCAAACAGCAGGATAAGTATACTAAAGAGGATAAGGGCTAAAGGATGATAACAATACATCTGGACAGTCTGGACAGTTGATCCTCAAGCTACTGCTGTGTGTAGACTGGCCAGCTTCCAGGGGTGGCCAGAGCACGGCCAAAGATCTCAGGTGGACTTCTGCTGCCTCTAGAATGTGACTCAGAGCAGCTGATCAGGAAGGGGCTCTGCAGCCCAAGTCTCCCATTTTTCTGGAGGTGTCATCCTCTTTACCCAGGTGTGGTGGATCCACACGGTGATATCTCAACCTTAACAGCAGTGGGAATTGCTAATATAACAGTGTGAGGGCCAGTCCAGATCAGCTGGAGTGGCTCCTTCTTCCAATCTTTAACCCATACCTCATCTCCTGGCTGATGAAGCCAATTTCCTAAAGGAAAAGGGGGGGGGGTCTTTCTAGGGTTTCTTGGGTGATGTGGCAGAGGATCCTCCCTAGGGCCTGAAGGTGTTGGGACACTTCTATGTCAGCTATCAGTTGAGGGTCTCCTTTTAGCTACCCTATCACTGGGGGAGGTCTCCAATAAAGGATTTCAAAAGGGGAGTAGCCTGAAGGCCTTGGGGTACACAATGCTCGGAGTAGAGCCAAAGGCAGCAAGTTGATCCAAGGTAACTGGGTTTCCTGACAAAGCTTAGCTAGAGTGGTCTTGAGGGTCCAGTTCATGTGTTCAACTTTCCTTAAACTTCGTGGCCTGTACGCCGTGTGGAGCTTCTATTTGATTCCCAGAGCTTTGGACAGAATCTGGACTATCTCAGACTCAAAGGCAGGTCCATTGTCAGATCCTATACAGGGCAGCCTGTATCCTGGAACAGTTTCCCTCACAAGGCTCTAGCTACTTCTTGGGCCCGTTCAGTGCGAGTACAGAAAGCTTCAGCCTATCTGGAGTAGAGGCAAACTAACACAAGTATCAGTGGCTTTGGCAGGGCTTGACCTCAGTAAAGTCTACTTCTAGGTCTTTAGAGGGCATAGTCTCAATTGTATGCACTCCTGGATTGGATTTTGGCCTTTGGCTGGCGTTGTTTCGTGTGCGTTACACATCTAGCACTGATTTGGGTGCACAGGGTTGGGAGCTTGGGTATGAAATAGTAGCAGCCTAACAGGCTTTCTAAAGTAGTCTTCCCTAGGTGAGTCAACTCATGGTGCTGCATTACCAGCTGAGCTGCCACCACAGTGGGAATAAAGAGTCTTTGATCTGGAAGCTCCCACCAGCCCTCCTTTCTCTTGCTTCCCCCTTCACTTAAGGCCCATTGTTCTTCTTCCTTGGTGTGTTTCAGGGACAGAGGCAATTCTGGTACTAGGAGAACCTTGGAGACTGGCTCAGGACATGCTGTGGCACATGGTTGGTTGGCAGCCTCCTTAGCTGCTTGGTCTGCCAGTTGGTTTCCCCTACTGCCAGGGTTGGTTCCTCTCTGGTGGCCTTTGCAGTGAATGACTGTCACCTGAGGAGGCTTCCAGATTGCCTCTAACAGATGAAGGATTTCTTCTTTGTTCTTGACTTCTTTTCCTCCCACCATCAGTAGTCCCCTCTCTTTATAAATGGTTCCATGTACATGCAAAGTAACAAAGGCATACCTTGAGTCAGTATAGATATGGGCTCGTTTCCCTTCAGTTTGATGCAGTGCCTGAATGACCATAGTTCGGCTTGCTGTGCCAACCAGCCCTGTGGCAGAGCCTTAGCTCTGATCTCCCAATCTTTGGTTGTTATTGAGTAGCCAGCTTTGCATTGTCCTTCATGGATGAAGCTGCTCCCATCGGTGAACAATACCAGTTCTGGGTTCTGAAAAGGAATGTCAGTCAGGTCCAGCCTGCTTGAGGAGACTTCATCCGTGACCTCTTCACATTCATAGTCGGGAGGCACCTCCTCAGCAGAAAAGTAGCAAGGTTCAACGTCCGCATAGTCTTGAGGCGGACATGTGGATTTTCGCAAAGCTGTCCCTGGTAATGAGTTTATCCTGGTTTTGGTCAGCCACTTGTGTCCCTGATTATTCATTAATGCAGTAACAGTATGGGGGAACTTTACATTTATATTCTGTACCAGTGTGAGCTTGTCCACTTCTCTGACCAGACTACCATGGCAGGTAAGGTCCAGAGGCATGGTGGCAATCCCATGGCCACTGGATTTAGCCATTTGGACAGGTATGCAATTGGGCACTGCCATGGTCCGAATGTTTGTGTGAGGACCCTCAGTGCAGTATGATTCTTCTCATGTATGAAGAGGTTAAAATCCCATGTCCCGCCCAGTAGTCCTAATGCTGGGGCACTGGTCAAAAGTCTCTTTATGTCTCTGAAGGCCTTTTCTTGTCTAGAGCCCCATTCCAGAAGGTCTTTACCGGATCCAGCTGTGGCCTCGTACAGTGGCTTGACAATTTCAGAGAAACCTGGTATACAGATCTGGCAGAATCCGGCAGCCCCTAGGAATTCATGACTGCTTTCTGAGTGTTTGGCCGAGGTATTGAACAGATGGCCAGTTTTCATTTGTATCCAAGTGCCTGATGTCTTTCTGAGATGATGAACCCAAGGTATCTGACCTCCTGTTTGCAGATTTGAGCCTTCCTCCATGACACCTTGTATCCCATGGTAGAGAGTAGGGTCAACAGTCTTCTTGGGTGGGGCTAACCAGCAACAAGTCATTTACACACTAGAGTAGAATGCAGTTCAAAGTTTCTCTGGAGAAGGCAGCAAGATCTGTGGCCAGCACTTTGCCAAACAGAGTGGGTGAGTTCTTGAAGCCCTGTGGCAGTCGAGTCCAAGTCAGTTGTGTCTTTGTCCTGGTGCGTGGGTCTTCACACTCAAAGGCAAACAAAGGCTGGCTGGCCGGTGATAACTGGAGGCAGAAGAAGGCGTTCTTGAGATCAAAGCAGGTGAACCAGCTTGCTTGGACAGGTAACAGATTCAGGAGGGTATACAGGTTCAGGACTATGGGATGGATGATGCCCACTGCACTGTTGACGGTGTGGAGGTCCAGGGCGGTAGTCGTTCCCTCCAGGCTTCTTGACCAGTAAGAGCAGCGTGTTCCAAGGTGACTGATGCTCAGCTAGAATTCCAGTATCATGCAAATGCTGGATGTGGTTCTGAATTCCCAAGCGTGCTTCCTGTGGCACTGGATATTATCTTCGTGTGACAGGAGTGGCTCCTGGCCTCAGGTCCACCACAATGGGTACGTGATTTTTGGCTAGACCTGGGGGCCCCTTTTCTGCCCAAACATTAGGGGACTCTTCTAGCAGACTGGTTGGGCCTGGCATCAAGTGCAGCCCCCAAGGCTCATGCTGTGGAGTCTAGTGCACTGTCCAGTGCTTGTCCTTGGAGCCACCCCCGTGCTTCTGACAGAATTTGGCATCATTCCTCGGTGTTAAAGAGAGTTAGGAGGAGTTGGCGACAGTCATCCCAGGTAGGCTGATGAGTTTGGAAGAGGGACTTGAGCAGGTCAATCATTACCTGGGGTTTCTCCAAATAGGACGGGGTGTGCTGCTTCCAGTTGAGGAGATCAATTGTGCTGAAAGACTGATAGCAGAGGACAAGGTGGCCCAGCTGGACTGTGTCATCTTCGCTAATTTCAAGAGGGCCTTGCATCTCTCAGAGAGGCATCTGGAGGGCCGCAGGCTGGTGGGCTGGCTGTGTGGCCGAGCAAAGATGCTGTGGATTTGGGCTTGGCAGCCACTCAGGCTGTTGGGGTGGTGAAGACACTGATGGAGGAGAGCTGTCCAGTAATTGGGGGTAGAGTGTCTGTGCAGGGACTGGCAGAGCTGTTGGAATGTATGGCGGTGGGAAGAAAGGTTCTTCTTCAGGGTCCCCTTGGTGGATGACTCTTGCTGGCTCTTCCTTGTCTTTTCCTCAGGTCGGTCGGGCCACAAGTACCTTACTCTGTCCCTGCCTATTTGTGCAGAACCAGGCCCAAGGGGGCACTACAGTAGTGATTTGCAACTATGAGTCTCTGTATGGAAACTGATCCGGGTGTCCAGGGGTCCCTGTCACTACCAGGTACACAGCTCTAACAGTGGGGAGGTCCAGGGTCCCTTCCAAAGGCCACTCTACCCTGAAGGAGGGCTACTCAAGCTCACAAAGAGTACGACATTTTCCTGGGTCAACTTGACCCCATAATACCCTGTGAAATCTTTCTTAAAATTTTTCAACATACAATTTAAGACAGTTGGCTTAGAGGAATCGCCACCCATATTGCCTTATGGAGCTTCCTAATGGAGGGGGAAAATAGACCTTAAAATTTCAAGAAAATAATTTGACTGAGGGCCGCTATGTCAAAAGGCTGTTTGGAGATAGACAATTCTTAAGCCGAATCAGTAGTCAATTGTGCCCCCTCTCTGTGTATCTCGCCCTGTGTCAGAGACACAAAGACAAACAAGGGTAGGTGCCTCCTCCAAAAAGGAGACTACTCAGGTGCTCGTCTGGCCGCGTCCCGAAGGATCATAGGTGATGCTTGGCTGTGGTGGACTCAGCTTTGTGACTTACGATTGGACACTAGTCCATTGCCACCATGGATCGTATGCCATCCATCACGGAATTGCAGACGAGCCTACTCAGACTCCATAGCCTTTAGGGGATCTTATGGGTTCCCAGCCGTGGAGCCACAAATTTGTACCTGAGTCAAGCAGCCAGTTCGCTCATTCACTCACACATTCACACACCAGAGGTTAAAACATTGCCTTTCCCTTTTTGGAAAGCCCTGACCTTTGTCTTCCCCCATCGGGAAGACCCTGACCTGTGTTTTCTAACTGAAGACTTCAGGAGGTGAACAAGCTCTCTTCTGTCCAAAGACAGGAACTGACTGGGGTGCTGAGCCCCAGGGCCTTACCTTATCCTGTGGCCATTCCTGGTGAGTTGGTCTATCCCTCTTTTGAGCCCAGTCGGGGGGGATTGCCATGTGGAGAGTTGGAGCGCTGGTCCGAAAGAGAACCCAGAATATTGTCAGGTGGTGCACCTCCTCATTCATCTCAGGGCCCCTGCAGCAGCCACCGGTCTGGCAGCTCAAAGGGCTTGCATAGTTGGAATCTCGCTGAGGCCTCCAGAATTGTTGCAAAAAAATCAGACCGGCAAGAAACCAAGCACCACTTAGAGAGTTGGAGAACTCAGGTTTATTACGCCAGGAGTCCCAGAAGAGCTAGTGCTCCTAAGATCTGGGCCCAACCTCAGGGGTAACCTTACTTTTATCGAGCTTATCCGCACAGTTACAGTTGGCATGGGCCAATAGGCTAATTTGTCCTCAGGCGGTTACAGAGCGTGGGAGTTGCTATTGTCTATGGGCAGTTAAAGAGCATGATATTTTCAGACAGGAATGTAGGCAATACATCTGTATACAGAACAAGCAGAGGGGAGGATGAGTCTTCAGTTGACTTTGAGGTCACCCTGCCCTTTGGCTTATATGGCAAGCATGTCTACAGAAGCAGAACAAAGAGCTGATTACAAGGTTAGCCATTTGAGTAGAAAATTCCTCTTCAAGGGAAGGGAAGATATACTCTGAGCAGGTTTTTTGTTTGTTTGTTTTCTGAGACTCTAGCCATTTTTTTTCTTTTTACCAAAGGTCCAGGTCCTGGATTAATTTGGCTCAGGGTTTTCTGTGTTCTAGGAGGTGATTCAGGAAGTTGTGCAAATGGCAGATTCATATTTCATGGATGTGGGCATAGCAGAAGTACGACTGTACTTATACTCTACTTGATTCGATTAAGGTAGCCTATTCTCACTGATTTGTTTTAATAAGTGGATCTTATAAATGATTTAGGTTAATATTATCATTTATATATTTTAAATATTGTGATTCCATTGAAAATTTTGTTGGGAAAAAAAGCTACTACTACTAAAAAAAATGTGAAGAGCACCCAAGTTCCCTATTTACCTCTTTATAACAACCAAATTCTTAAACACTGACAATGGAGAAAGATGAAGGAAAAGAATTACCAAATGATTCCTTCTGCTCAGAAAGCAGGGTTGGTTCTAATTAGACCCAGGTTGATGTTTTCTCAGAAGGCTGAATGTTTTGAGGACAGGGCCTTGGGTTGCAGAGCTCACCTCTCCCCCTCCAGCTCCAATCCTGGGCCAGATCCACCTACTGAGGAAGTGTCCCAACATTTAGATTCCCATTTTGATTCTGACAAGTGATACAATGTCAGAGATGGTGTGGCTAAATTTCTTCATAACGCTTCTCCCCAACATTGTTGACTGTTTACGTACTCTGGTCAGAAAGTCTGGGCCTCACAGAAATAAAAAGGCTCCCCTCTCTTTCCTCTTTTTCAAGCCTAGAACTAGTTCTAAGCATTCACTCCCAGCTTCGTTCAGCAAGAAAACAGAAAAGAGTAGCAACATTAGAGTTTCCTTTTCACTCAAAACTTTTGCAGATTTCTTCTCTCATTATTCCAATCTGCTTTCCTGCTCCTGTCTGTTCAGCGACACCATGAGACGGGGGCAAGGGGTTGGGCTGGATGCAACTGAGAGGAGACCTAATGGACTCTGTAATCAGAACCATGGTGCAAAACCCCATTTCTCAGTATTCTTACCTTAGGTTTAATTATCAGAATTAAAGTGTCTTTCTTTGTAAAATGGGGGATAACAGCATAGGCTTAGATGTAAAAAATATTTAGTACAATGCCTAGCATTTAGCTGGTATTCAGCACATGACTTTTCATTATCATCTTGGCATCGCCTTGCTTCTGCAACTTCTCCTAAAGTGTTACTGCGTGTCAAGCAGGAGGCATCTATGTCAGGAGGAGTTTGAACGTGAAGTGTATGTGTGAATATGAATGTGTGTGTGTGTGTGGTGGGGTGGTGTGGTGGAAGTGTGTGGTGACTGGCACTCAGGTAAATCACTGGTGAGGCTTTAGCATTTCTCTTTCCTCCCCAGGCCTGCTGACCAAAAGTCATACTTCTGAATAAGCACAACAGGTGCATTCCTAAGGAGAATACAGTCGGAACTTCAAAGAGTGGGTAGAGGTAGTGTGGGGGCATAAAGGTCCTTGTAAACCAGCAGGAAGCAAGAGTCTGTGGCTAGTCTGACTCTCAGTCATGTCTTCCCTTGCCTCCAGATGCTATTCCCAGTTAACACTGCCCAATGACTCTCGAGAACACGAAGCTTTTCTCCTAGTGATTTTTGTCTCCTGTCTGAAAACCTATCATTAATATAAGTATTAAATTTTATGATTAAATAAGTTATTTAATGTGTCTAATATGCTATACAGATACAGTTAATTGGGTGTTTATGGCACCCAAATTACAAAACAGCGATCAGGACAGTACAGTAACCCCTCTCCCATCTTATTCAGTCGCACATTGTAGCCCTGGAAATCTGAATATACACACTCACTGACTTGCAGTTATGTCCCAGTCAAGCTTTCCTTGTGCATAAGAGGGTTCAGAACTGCCTTAAGAGCATTATTTTGTCTTGTTGCTCTCTCCCCATTTCTTCTGGCTGCAGCTATTCAGAACTTCCCTTTTCCATTTCCTTTCTCATCTAGCCAGCATCAGCACTTTGCTGCCATTTTTTCCCCCCAAGGACAATCTACCACTTATCCCAGCTGGCATTGATATAGTTTGGATCAAGGAGCTTTTTAAAAATATGGCCTAAGATGTAAACATTACTGAGAAACAGAGAGACAGTACAGGTTATAAAAAAAAGAATTAAACGTCAAGAATTAAACGAAATAATGTTTATAAAGCCTTTGGTAAGATGTGTACACATACTGCTGATACCAGATAAATATTACTTCTAGTACTTCTTTTCTTCCCTTTTCGTACCTGTCTGTCACTAACTAGTACTGAGACCTAAGGCAAGCACTTCATTTTTCTGGGTCTGTTTCCTCTTACATTGAAAATTAAGAGGGTTGTACCAAGTTTTTTTCTTGTTCAAAAACTTTTTTGCCCCAATCTCACCTCATAACTCCTTCACTGATTATTTGGAAAAGGTTGGTAAGGTTATTTCTGCTATCTACATAGCTGATATTAAGTTATCTATCTTCACCTCACATTAACCTCCAAGGAACTCAAAACACTGCAGCTAATTCGACATTAAAACAGCCTAGGGGCCCTCAAGATTTATTTCAAGGGTTAAAACAAGGTCACCATCAAGTCCTTCGCAAAGCTCAAAACAGAAGAGAGAACTCCCAAATAAAGGTCTAGCTTCCTTTTAAAAGTTTTTGGTTTTTTTTTTTTAGAAAAGGAATAAAGATAGAAAAAAGGCCCCCTGCCCCCGCCTCCTGGGAGTGGCCAGCGCAGTCTCGGGTACCCCTGGGCTGCGTCCACCCTCCTCCGCCTAGCAGTCCCGGGGACCGGGCGACACAGACCTCTCGTCCCAACGTCGGGCTCAGGTGGGTGAGGACAGAGACCGGAGAGGAAGGGGATCCGGACGCGAG